TACCACAGGTATCAAAGGCTGCTAACTCATGTGAGAAAGTCAGCTGACATCTGAGATCTTTGTCCATTGCAAGGGAGAAATCAGCAATTAATGAGGCTAGAACAGTCTCTGTAGTTATCCAACTCATAAGTCCATCTGCAAAGGATCAAGGAAATATGAAGGCTCCAAATTGCCTTAAAGTCCTCATTCCCTTGGTTAGAATGCTCCCATTAGTATATGTTCATAGTCCAGAGGCTGGAGCAGGAAAGAAGCCGGAACAGGAAAAAGGAAAAATGGGGATGTTTCCAGGCCAGGGACTTTTAGCTTCTGCCAAGTGACAAGTAAAGGGAAATCTGTTCTTACTGTGAAAGATGGTGTTTGGAGTCACATGGGCAAGTTACATGTCCATCATCCCCACCTATATTCTAGTTAGAACATTCACAAAAAGTCCATTAAGTGTAGACAGGCGTTTTCCAGGGTCCATTGTGAGCTAAGTGTTCCTTAATGGGCCATTCAACTTGACTTGTCCCTTCATTTGCTGGATAAATACCTTGTGTGCATTACCACAGGAGCAAACATGTAGTAAATATAGCTAATATTCATAACTTCAGACACCAAGATGAATATACATGCATAGAAATAGCATAATCATAAATACCAGCTATTTCACCTACATGACTATTCCCAAAAGAGATTCTGAAAAATCACACCACGTACCTGAGACCCAGTGTGCCAGCCCCAGGCCCCACTGGAGTTTTGTTATCTGTTACGTAACAACGGGGATGGAGCCAGTGACATGACTCTGTTTAGCCTAAAATGGCAAGGTTAATTTTAAGCTGTTCAGGTGTGACTGCACCTTTAGTCAGTGAGGGCATACTGCCTGGCACACATTCAGGTTAATGGGATTCAGTGTTCCCTTGCAGTTAACTTTTTAATGTTCAGAAACCTGGTATGTGGTGAGGTGGTTTAAAGCATAACACAGGTTTTTAGGTTTTCAAATCTGTGAACCTCTGCCTCTTTGAAATTTTATTGTTATTATTATTTTGCTGGTCATAATGTGGGAGGGTCTCTTCTCCACCTCTGCTCATGAGGTTATGTATGTGTCTTGTAGCACTCTTCTGAACACCAGATGGAAGGATTTATTTTCCAGTAGTTGTGGACTGATTCTTTTCTCTTAGAAGGCATGTAGTTTTTTCAGGGGTACACTGCTTTACACAGAAAACAACTGGGGCTGTTAAACTTTCTTTGAATTCCATAGAAAATTTAATTCAGCTCTATTTTCCAGTACAGTGATGAAATGCGTGTTTATATATACAAACATGAATGTGCTTAACTACTCACTTTCCCCCCAAATATGTAGTATTTCAGTCTGTTATTATGGAATATGGGAATCGGGTGAGGAGCTATTTCAGCATATATATGACTTATTAAAAGACAAATTTTAAGTAGAACTGTATTCTAAACTGCTTTACGGTATTGTACCCAAACATTGCATGTCAATGGGAAATTCAACTTCCTTTTTAGGAACAGAACAGACTCCAGAAACTCTTACCACAAAAGTGGTCCATAGACAAGCAAATAGTCCCATTGTCTTCAATGGGATTGATCAAATGATTAAGGGTTTACAGGATTAGGTTCCAAGTTTGAAATTGTTCTGGATGAAATTGACAATGCCTGAGCTGTCAGATCAGAACGAGCTTCATTTGAATAAAGGTGAGCAGATGTGTGATAAGTCTTAACTCCGTTGCTAAGATGAGAAACATATTTTGAGCAAAGTTCATGGCAGATTCCTAAGGCAGCTGATTTAAGGCTGTCAGTGTCCAGCATAATAATCTTCACTTACAGTTCCTATAAAGCTGGGTCCCATAAAGGGACCCATGTAGGTCCCATAAAGCTGGGGAAAGAGGCATTTGTTTTCTTTGTTTTGCTGCTCCAGTTCCAGTTAACAAAATGCTTGTTAAACTAGTTTGGCTGCAAAGAAAAATTCTGTGTACACTGCGGACAACACCTGATTCCTGTCAGACTGCAGAACTGGGCTGATGTAAGAATCCAGCATCCTCTGGTCAGTGCTAGCAGAGCCATTCCTCTAATGATTTGGACTTGATGTGATGCAGTACGGATGTCATGAATAATTCAGACGAATGGGGAGAAACAGAACCAAAAACACTGTTTAAACACCTTCCGTCCCCCCGCCACCCCTCCCCTCTTGAGGACTCCTGACCAACTTAACAGCACATACATATGCTAACAAACGTTAACAAAGCCTTTTTGTTAGCATATGTATTGTGCTGTTAAAGCCATATAAAGAATTAGTGCCCTCCCTAGCTACGTTCTGCTCCTTTAAGGAAGAGAGCGCAGCCCCGACCCCAACCCCTCCAGGGGCGTGGGGGGCTAGCCCTAAGTCTTTCTGGTACCCCATACCTGCTAAAAATCTCTTGCTGGTACTACATACTGGAGAGTACTGTCCTACTTGCACTACTGTTCTGGTGGCAAGTTATCTGAGCATCACTTTGCAGCTGTGAATCAGAAAGGCAAATTCTTCTAGAGAATTTGGAAAAATTACTGAAAGCAAAAACCTGAGCCCTCCTAGAGTCAGAACACTGTCACTGTCATAACCTCCAAACATGCTGCATCAGATAATAAAATATACAAATAAACAAAGATACCCAAACATAGGCTGGTGTAAATAGGGAGAGCCATGCTGATTCTTTTCTAGATCTATCAGATGCTTTTGACACAGTTGAAAATGAAGCGTTCTTAGCCCATCTTCCCAGTTTAGGAGGGGTCAACAGAACTGCACAGATATAGCTATACCTGTTACTCAAGCCTGGTCTACATTGGGGGGGGGGATCGATCTAAGATACGCAACTTCAGCTACGAGAATAGCGTAGCTGAAGTCGACGTATCTTAGATTGACTTAGAATCACTTTCTTAGCATCCTCGCAGTGCGGGATCGACGGCCGCTGCCCCCCCGTCGACTCCACTTCCACCTCTCGCTCTGGTGGAGTTCTGGAGTCAATAGCAGAGCAATCGGGGATCGATTTATCGCGTCTATACTCGACGCAATAAATTGATCCCCGATAGATCGATCACTACCCACCAATCTGGTGGGTAGTGTAGATGTGGCCTCAATCTCAAACATATCTCAAAGCTGTAAATTGGCAGCTGCTCTTTCTCACTGCTCTGCCTTCCTTGAAGGATCAGTCTTTTTCCTGCTCTTTTTTTTAAAAGATCTATGATAAGCTACCATGGACCCAGTGAGGCACTGTGGACTTAAGTGTCAACAGGGCATGCTGTTGGATGTATCTTTTTCATCTGGAGTAGACAGTGCTGCTGTCTCTCAGCTACCCAAGTGTCTGGAAAAAAACAAGCACCTGGATAATAAACAGAATTAAACCAAATAAGACAGAGGGGACACTGCAGGGGCTGGGGGTGGAAGCATTTAAAAGATCTAGGAAACATCATGACCACTCTCTCTATCAATGGTGTTCATCCAAGTGGGATCTGCACAATGTGGAAATGATACTATACTCCGAACTTCACGTGGACACCCAGCTTGTACCATTAGTCAGAAATATTTTTCCCTAGCTCTATTTGACAAGAAGTCCCAATCCTCTTGGACACTGTTATGGTTATTCTTATTTGTGGGCAGGACTTCTGCAAATACCAAGCTACTAAACTGACCATGGACACTATATGCAAACTGCAGATGGTCCATCACAAAGTGATATCTATTCAACAATAGGTGAAAGCATATCATATTGGTTTCCATGCAGTACGCTGGCTTTCCATTTATTACTGGATCCAGTTCAATGCCCTGATCCTCATTCAATGGCCTGATCTTGGAAGTTCCTTGTTCATGTCCTGCCTCTTAGAGCACAATGCAAGAAACCTTTTTCACAAGCTGTCTCCTCAGCAAAACCAATGACAGACTGACCAATACATCTTCATCCTTCTCTAGATATCTCTTCCTGCAGACTAATAGAATACAACCCCACTGAGGATGGATCAGAGATGTTGTCCTCAGAGGACAACAATAGAACTGTTAATTCTTATCTTTGCCATCTGAATACCATAGTAACTAATGCACTAGTATTAAGCTGGTAGCACTATTAGGTAGATCAGTACCAAATTAATCCAGCTGAAATAATCAAAACCAAAAATGAAACTCTAGTAATGGAATAATGGAAGTTAGAGTCTGAAAAAGGCCCATAGTACCATTAAAAAGTCAATATTTATCCACAGTTACCATTAGGAGATATGATATTTCCTATTCTAAGTGTACAACAGAGGAAATAATAAGAAGCCAGTCTCAGATAGTTCTGCGAACACGTTAACCATTGTATAAAGTTGTTAGGCTAACAGAGTTGCTCTCTACTGCTTTTATTCTAGTTCTTCATTTTCAAGGAAAAATTCAACAGTAGACGCAAAATACAATAAAACCAAAGAATGGACTATCAATCGAAAGACATGAACAAAACTTGCAGGTATGTCATCCCAGGGGAGAGCACAGTCCTTCTTAAATCAAAGTTAAACTTAAAGACAACGGGGAAGATGACAATTAGCAAAAACAGATGTGCCATGTCTTCCTGGGAATCTTGCAAAGCAGGCAAAATTAAGCTAAAAGAAAAGGAGTACTTGTGGCACCTTAGAGACTAACCAATTTATTTGAGCATGAGCTTTCGTGAGCTACAGCTCACTTCATCGGATGCATACTGTGGAAACTGCAGAAGACATTATATACACAGAGACCATGAAAAAATACTTCCTCTCACCCCACTCTCCTGCTGGTAATAGCTTATCTAAAGTGATCACGCTCCTTACAATGTGTATGATAATCAAGCTGGGCCATTTCCAGCACAAATCCAGGTTTTCTCACCCTCCACCCCCCCCCCCACCCACAAACTCACTCTCCTGCTGGTAATAGCCCATCCAAAGTGACCACTCTCCTTACAATGTGTATGACAATCAAGGTGGGCCATTTCCAGCATAAATCCAAGTTTAACCAGAACGTCGGGGGGGGGGGGCGGGGGTAGGAAAAAACAAGGGGAAATAGGCTACCTTGCATAATGACTTAGCCATTCCCAGTCTCTATTTAAGCCTAAATTAATAGTATCCAATTTGCAAATGAATTCCAATTCAGCAGTTTCTCGCTGGAGTCTGGATTTGAAGTTTTTTTGTTTTAAGATAGCGACCTTCATGTCTGTAATTGCGTGACCAGAGAGATTGAAGTGTTCTCCGACTGGTTTATGAATGTTATAATTCTTGACATCTGATTTGTGTCCATTTATTCTTTTACGTAGAGACTGTCCAGTTTGACCAATGTACATGGCAGAGGGGCATTGCTGGCACATGATGGCATATATCACATTGGTGGATGTGCAGGTGAACGAGCCTCTGATAGTGTGGCTGATGTTATTAGGCCCTGTGATGGTGTCCCCTGAATACATATGTGGGCACAGTTGGCAACGGATTTTGTTGCAAGGATAGGTTCCTGGGTTAGTGGTTCTGTTGTGTGGTATGTGGTTTTTGGTGAGTATTTGCTTCAGGTTGGGGGGCTGTCTGTAGGCAAGGACTGGCCTGTCTCCCAAGATTTGTGAGAGTGTTGGGTCATCCTTCAGGATAGGTTGTAGATCCCAGAAGTCACCTACTACAGGACAGGCCTAAAAAAGAAAATAACAGAACGCCGCTAGCCGTCACCTTCAGCCCCCAACTAAAACCCCTCCAACGCATTATTAAGGGTCTACAACCTATCCTGAAGGACGACCCAACACTCTCAGAAATCTTGGGAGACAGGCCAGTCCTTGCCTACAGACAGCCCCCCAACCTGAAGCAAATACTCACCAAAAACCACATACCACACAACAGAACCACTAACCCAGGAACCTATCCTTGCAACAAAGTCCGTTGCCAACTGTGCCCACATATCTATTCCGGGGACACCATCACAGGGCCTAATAACATCAGCCACACTATCAGAGGCTCGTTCACCTGCACATCCACCAATGTGATATATGCCATCATGTGCCAGCAATGCCCCTCTGCCATGTACATTGGTCAAACTGGACAGTCTCTACGTAAAAGAATAAATGGACACAAATCAGATGTCAAGAATTATAACATTCATAAACCAGTTGGAGAACACTTCAATCTCTCTGGTCACGCAATTACAGACATGAAGGTCGCTATCTTAAAACAAAAAAACTTCAAATCCAGACTCCAGCGAGACACTGCTGAATTGGAATTCATTTGCAAATTGGATACTATTAATTTAGGCTTAAATAGAGACTGGGAATGGCTAAGTCATTATGCAAGGTAGCCTATTTCCCCTTGTTTTTTCCTACCCCCGCCCCCCCCCCCCCCCAGACGTTCTGGTTAAACTTGGATTTATGCTGGAAATGGCCCACCTTGATTATCATACACATTGTAAGGAGAGTGGTCACTTTGGATAAGCTATTACCAGCAGGAGAGTGAGTTTCTGTGTGTGTGTGAGGGGGGGGAGGTGAGAAAACCTGGATTTGTGCTGGAAATGGCCCACCTTGATTTTCATACACATTGTAAGGAGAGTGGTCACTTTGGATGGGCTATTACCAGCAGGAGAGTGAGTTTGTGGGGAGGAGGGGGGGCGGAGGGTGAGAAAACCTGGATTTGTGCTGGAAATGGCCCAACTTCATTATCATACACACTGTAAGGAAAGTGGTCACTTTGGATGGGCTATTACCAGCAGGAGAGTGAGTTTGTGGGGGGAGGGGCGGGCGGAGGGTGAGAAAACCTGGATTTGTGCCAGAAATGGCCCAACTTGATTATCATACACATTGTAAGTAGCGTGATCACTTTAGATAAGCTATTACCAGCAGGAGAGTGGGGTGGGAGGAGGTATTGTTTCATGGTCTCTGTGTATATAATGTCTTCTGCAGTTTCCACAATATGCATCCGATGAAGTGAGCTGTAGCTCACGAAAGCTTATGCTCAAATAAATTGGTTAGTCTCTAAGGTGCCACAAATACTCCTTTACTTTTTGCAAATACAGACTAACACGGCTGTTACTCTGAAACCTAATATTAAGCTACTAGAGGTAAAAGGAAGTGCATTAAAAATGAAAATGATAAGATTCCAGTGCTTCAAAGCATCACGCCACTGAGGGGGGAAAAGGACACTCTCTCTCAGATTTACAATACATTATCATATAACTAACAGCCATGTTTAAGGGAGACAACATAAAAGGGATCAAAATGAGACCCTTCTTTGAGTCTAAAGGGCTTTTTTCTTTTATTTTTAAAGCTTAGGTACATGAAGGAAAAGGCAAATGACACTGAGTTCTCACAAGCTTGGAGGAGGTGGTTCACCAGAGTTTTAAAAACTTTTCTGTGCTCAGAATATTTAAGCAGTGCATTTATCAAAGTAACTCTGAATATAGGTTGGAGTCTGTGGAGTTTGCTTCAAACAGAATAGACACTTTTAAGCAGCTAGTGGAATGTGTTGCTTGTCTACATGAAGATTCACTACAAAGCCCAAGAGAACACTGCTGATGCCTCCTATCTGAGTGCAGCTGATTAAGCATGTCCTTGACCGAAATTGTCTGTGCAAGTGATTTTTTAGATTCCAGGAACTTAGCCAAGCTAAGGAGTGATTCCACAGGCTATAGGATAAGACAAAGGAAATTTAGCTCTCAGAACTTCCTCCAAGTCTAGCTCTTTAAGGGAGACATTTGGCATCTCTTAGGAGGAAAACCATAAAACTTGTTGATTGTACATCTCTCTTTCTCTTTGCCTCCACCACTTTTCTCTCATCTTCTCTTGCATTAGAAGTTTGGTGCTGAAATACAACCTCAGAAAGATAACAGCTATCCACCACTTCATACGATTTATCCTTTCCATTTCTCCTTTAGCAAGGCTGATTGCAGGTGCAGGCACCAAAGAAATCCTTGTCCTTCTACAGCAGGGGTTCTCAAACTTTGGGTCAGGACCCCAAAGTGGGGCCCAACGCTGATGTTGGCCCTGGGCCCCAGCAAGTCTCAAGCCCAAGCCGCACCACCCAGGGCTAAGATTACAAGCCCCCTTGGGCTTCAGCTCCGCCCCCTCCCCACCCCCACCCCCAGCCCGGGACGGCAGGGTTTGGTCTTCAGTCCCCCATCCTGGGATTGTCTAGTAATTTTTGTTGTCACAAGGGGGGTTGAGAACCCCTGTTCTACAGGAAGAGTAAGGATGCAAACGTAGTGTGCAGCTTCTTTTCCAGCCCTGAGCATGCCCCCATTTTTATTAAGGTAGTTTTTTGAGCAAATCGGTGACAGACTGGCAGTGCAATATTGAATGCACGGCCTCTTGGGGACTTGGTGCTTCTTTAGAATAGATTTTTTACAATATTCTACCCATTTGCTAACATGCCTCCTGCATCGTAGCCTGTGTCTAAATTCATGAGCCAGGGGTACTATGTTTTCCGAATAGCGCTGATGTGAAGAGAATGTTCAGGGATTGCCCATCATATACGATAGACTCATGTTGACCAATGGTCACTGATTTGCACATAACCACAGGCTCAAAATCCTCTCCGTAAATAAGTCTTTTGTACGCCCCATAATTCCAGAGCCAGTTTACAATGTGTACAAAAGCAGAGCTGTCAGTGATTCAGCAAGAGACTGCCAAGCCATTCAAGTGAACCTAATCCTGTCATGTTCAGTCTGTTCATAGTTCCTCTTTCATAGGGTGATAAGACTCACAGTTCAAGAAGCGACATGAAAAAAACCTCATTAATTACAGCTATTAGAAAAAGTGTCCTTTTTTAAAGATACTGTGCATATTACTAGTTATATGGAAAAGGCAATATACTGTGTTCATTTACTTTGACAATCATTTAGAATCATCACTGAGGTGCATGTGTCACAAATTATCTTTGCCTTATTAACAGATCTTCAGTGGCATTAGAATTTAGGTTTCATTGTTAATCCCTTTTTCATGCTACTTAACACCTACTTCTGTGAGTTGTCTTCTCAGCTTCAATGGGACTATGCCTTTGAGTAGCTGAACAGTTTGAATAAGGGTTTCAGGGTCTGGCCCTTAACAACTAGAGGAATTTTATTATCACCCTGTGAATCTTCGGCAGTTATATCATGTTGAGGCTAGGAACCTTAAAGGACCCACTATTTACTTTTTTTAAAACTGTACATTCTTCGAGGTTTGTGGTTCACATGAATCACATGGCTACCAAGGTTCTCACTGTAATTTCCCCATCTTCAACTAAACAACCTTTACATCTTAATTTCATATCTACACATCCACAACTTCACGAATAATAGCACCACCGGTTATTATATATAACTGAATTGGTAGCATCACTGCCTGGCATGTCCCATTACAAGACTCTGCTTTTAATTGCGTATAACTTTGTCAAGGTTTTCCATTTGAAATTTTCCATGCAAGGCATCTGTCTCGGGCTGAATTCTGTTTTGGAAAATTTCAGCCAAAACAGTTCAGCCATTTCTGAGAACAAAGCAAGGGGGAAACACATTATTTTGTCCATGTTAACAAATTCTGGTGACCACTTCTTTCTAGTGCCCCCATACTTTGTTGGCCCAGGTCTTGACACTTAACAGGCTTTGTATCATGGCTTTGCCTTTTGCCATCCACATGAAAATTGGCTTAAATTTCTCTAAGTTATAAGCCTTTGAAAAATTGCAGTTCAGACACGCTCAGGAGAGACTCCTTAGATTTTTAGTCGTTAAATTCCCTGAAGATTTTATCTGCACGTGGAATGCTCCCACGCAGGGCTGAGTAGGACTTTCCCCCCATGGTTGGAGCCTTGGGCTACTGCGGGCTGTGCTCTGGTCCAGCCACCTGAACTGAGGCCAGGGAGATTATCTTGCATTTGCTCTCACTGACACCCCTCAAAGCCTCCACTTGGTCCAGTCAGCATGACAGAGAAAGTTGCCAGCTTGAAAGCAGAGGGGACAAGAGCTGGACCTAGGAGGAATGTATATGGGGAGGACAGATTGGGGGAAAACAGCCTGGAGTAGACAGGGACGCTGGGGCTGGAGACTGGCAGGGGAGGGAGACAGAAAGTGGGAGCTGGGTTAGGAAGTAGCCTGGGATTGGCTGGGAAAGAACAGGAGCTTTGGATGGAGTCTGGGAGCTCGGGGGCGGGGGGAACTGGGGCTAGTAGGCAGGGAGGGAAATGGGAAGGCAGACTAGGAACTGGTAAATGAGATTACATGAGCAGCTGTGGTTGGGGGGACACTGGGAATGGTTGGGCAAGGAGATTGGTACTAAGAACCAGTGGTACAGGAAGTGTCAGGGGAGGGGAGAGAGACCTGACCAGGAGCCAGGCTGCAGTGGGAGAGTATGAGGATTGGCTGGGCAAAGAGACAAACAAAGAGCCTGAAGAAACACTAAGATTGGATAAGAAGCCCAGGGTGGGAGACTGGAACTGGGAGCCAGTTGAGGTGAAGAACACGGGCAACAGCCGTGACTAGAGGCCAAGGTGGGGGAGGCAAACAGATTAGATGAGGAACATGGGTGGGGAATTGGACCTTGATGGGCAAAGAGACTTGAGACAAGGAGTTTGGTGGGAGAAATAGGAATGGCTGGGCAAGGAGATTGGGACTGGGATGAGAAACCTGAGGAGTGAGACTGTATCAGTGAGGAGACACTTTCTAAATGACAGATTTCAGAGCAGCCGTGTTAGTCTGTATCCGCAAAAAGAAAAGGAGGACTTGTGGCACCTTAGAGACTAACCAATTTATTCGAGCATAAGCTTTCGTGAGCTACAGCTCACTTCATCGGATGCATCTGATGAAGTGAGCTGTAGCTCTTGAAAGCTTATGATCAAATAAATTTGTTAGTCTCTGAGGTGCCACAAGTCCTCCTTTTCTTTTTTCTAAATGAAAATTTCTGGTTTCCCAGTTTGAAACAACTTTTCATTTTTAAATTTGATCAAATTATAATAAAAAATGATTGAAACATTTTGAAATTATTGAAACAGAATGTTTCTATTGACCTGAATCTTTTCTTTTTTTTTTTTTTTTTTTAGTTTTGCTGTTTCACAAACATTTTTGACAGGTTTCAGAGGAACAGCCGTGTTAGTCTGTATTCGCAAAAAGAAAAGGAGTACTTGTGGCACCTTAGAGACTAACCAATTTATTTGAGCATGAGCTTTCGTGAGCTACAGCTCACTTCATCGGATGCATACCGTGGAAACTGCAGCAGATATTATATACACACAGAGATCATGAAACAATACCTCCTCCCACCCCACTGTCCTGCTGGTAATAGCTTATCTAAAGTGATCAACAGGTGGGTCATTTCCAGCACAAATCCAGGTTTTCTCACCCTCCACCCCCCCACACAAATTCACTCTCCTGCTGGTGCTAGCCCATCCAAAGTGACAACTCTTTACATAATCAAGTCGGGCTATTTCCTGCATAGATCAAGGTTTTCTCACATCCCCCCCACCCCCATACACACACAAACTCACTCTCCTGCTGGTAATAGCTCATCTAAACTGACCATTCTCCAGGTTTAAATCCAAGTTAAACCAGAACATCTGGGGGGGGGGGGGGTAGGAAAAAACAAGAGGAAACAGGCTACCTTGCATAATGACTTAGCCACTCCCAGTCTCTATTTAAGCCTAAATTAATAGTATCCAATTTGCAAATGAATTCCAATTCAGCAGTTTCTCGCTGGAGTCTGGATTTGAAGTTTTTTTGTTTTAAGATAGCGACCTTCATGTCTGTGATTGCGTGACCAGAGAGATTGAAGTGTTCTCCGACTGGTTTATGAATGTTATAATTCTTGACATCTGATTTGTGTCCATTTATTCTTTTACGTAGAGACTGTCCAGTTTGACCAATGTACATGGCAGAGGGGCATTGCTGGCACATGATGGCATATATCACATTGGTGGATGTGCAGGTGAACGAGCCTCTGATAGTGTGGCTGATGTTATTAGGCCCTGTGATGGTGTCCCCTGAATAGATATGTGGGCACAATTGGCAACGGGCTTTGTTGCAAGGATAAGTTCCTGGGTTAGTGGTTCTGTTGTGTGGTATGTGGTTGTTGGTGAGTATTTGCTTCAGGTTGCGGGGCTGTCTGTAGGCAAGGACTGGCCTGTCTCCCAAGACTTGTGAGAGTGTTGGGTCATCCTTTAGGATAGGTTGTAGATCCTTAATAATGCGTTGGAGGGGTTTTAGTTGGGGGCTGAAGGTGACGGCTAGTGGCGTTCTGTTATTTTCTTTGTTAGGCCTGTCCTGTAGTAGGTAACTTCTGGGAACTCTTCTGGCTCTATCAATCTGTTTCTTTACTTCTGCAGGTGGGTATTGTAGTTGTAAGAAAGCTTGACAGAGATCTTGTAGGTGTTTGTCTCTGTCTGAGGGGTTGGAGCAAATGCGGTTGTATCGCAGAGCTTGGCTGTAGATGATGGATCGTGTGGTGTGGTCAGGGTGAAAGCTGGAGGCATGCAGGTAGGAATAGCGGTCAGTAGGTTTCCGGTATAGGGTGGTGTTTATGTGGCCATTGTTTATTAGCACTGTAGTGTCCAGGAAGTGGATCTCTTGTGTGGACTGGACCAGGCTGAGGTTGGTGGTGGGATGGAAATTGTTGAAATCATGGTGGAATTCCTCAAGGGCTTCTTTTCCATGGGTCCAGATGATGAAGATGTCATCAATATAGCGCAAGTAGAGTAGGGGCTTTAGGGGACGAGAGCTGAGGAAGCGTTGTTCTAAATCAGCCATAAAAATGTTGGCATACTGTGGGGCCATGCGGGTACCCATAGCAGTGCCGCTGATCTGAAGGTATACATTGTCCCCAAATGTGAAATAGTTATGGGTAAGGACAAAGTCACAAAGTTCAGCCACCAGGTTAGCCGTGACATTATCGGGGATAGTGTTCTTGACGGCTTGTAGTCCATCTTTGTGTGGAATGTTGGTGTAGAGGGCTTCTACATCCATAGTAGCCAGGATGGTGTTATCAGGAAGATCACCGATGGATTGAAGTTTCCTCAGGAAGTCAGTGGTGTCTCGAAGGTAGCTGGGAGTGCTGGTAGCGTAGGGCCTGAGGAGGGAGTCTACATAGCCAGACAATCCTGCTGTCAGGGTGCCAATGCCTGAGATGATGGGGCGCCCAGGATTTCCAGGTTTATGGATCTTGGGTAGTAGATAGAATATCCCAGGTCGGGGTTCCAGGGGTGTGTCTGTGCGGATTTGATCTTGTGCTTTTTCAGGAAGTTTCTTGAGCAAATGCTGTAGTTGCTTTTGGTAACTCTCAGTGGGATCATAGGGTAATGGCTTGTAGAAACTCATGTTGGAGAGCTGCCGAGCAGCCTCTTGTTCATATTCCGACCTATTCATGATGACAACAGCACCTCCTTTGTCAGCCTTTTTGATTATGATGTCAGAGTTGTTTCTGAGGCTGTGGATGGCATTGCGTTCCGCATGGCTGAGGTTATGGGGCAAGTGATGCTTCTTTTCCACAATTTCAGCCCGTGCACGTCGGCGGAAGCACTCTATGTAGAAGTCCAGTCTGCTGTTTCGACCTTCAGGAGGAGTCCATCTAGAATCCCTCTTTCTGTAGTGTTGGCAGGGAGACCTCTGTGGATTAGTATGTTGTTCAGAGGTATTTTGGAAATATTCCTTGAGACGGAGACGTCGAAAATAGGATTCTAGGTCACCACAGAACTGTATCATGTTCGTGGGGGTGGAGGGGCAGAAGGAGAGGCCCCGAGATAGAACAGCTGCTTCTGCTGGGCTGAGAGTATAGTTGGATAGGTTAACAATATTGCTAGGTGGGGTGAGGGAACCAGTGCTGTGGCCCCTTGTAGCATGTAGTAGTTTAGAAAGTTTAGTGTCTTTTTTCTTTTGTAGAGAAGCAAAGTGTGCGTTGTAAATGGCTTGTCTAGTTTTAGTAAAATCCAGCCACGAGGAAGTTTGTGTGGAAGGTTGGTTCTTTATGAGAGTATCCATTTTTGAGAGCTCATTCTTAATCTTTCCCTGTTTGCTGTAGAGGATCTTGATCAGGTGATTCCGCAGTTTCTTTGAGAGCGTGAGGCACAAGCTGTCAGCATAGTCTGTGTGGTATGTAGATTGTAATGGATTTTTGACCTTCAGTCCTTTTGGTACGATGTCCATCTGTTTGCATTTGGAAAGGAAGATGATGTCTGTCTGTATCTGTACAAGTCATTATGCAAGGTAGCCTGTTTCCTCTTGTTTTTTCCTACCCCCCCCCCCCAGATGTTCTGGTTTAACTTGGATTTAAACCTGGAGAATGGTCAGTTTAGATGAGCTATTACCAGCAGGAGAGTGAGTTTGTGTGTGTATGGGGTGGGGGGGATGTGAGAAAACCTTGATCTATGCAGGAAATAGCCCGACTTGATTATGTAAAGAGTTGTCACTTTGGATGGGCTAGCACCAGCAGGAGAGTGAATTTGTGTGGGGGGGTGGAGGGTGAGAAAACCTGGATTTGTGCTGGAAATGGCCCACCTGTTGATCACTTTAGATAAGCTATTACCAGCAGGACAGTGGGGTGGGAGGAGGTATTGTTTCATGATTTCTGTGTGTATATAAAGTCTGCTGCAGTTTCCACGGTAAACATCTGATGAAGTGAGCTGTAGCTCACGAAAGCTCATGCTCAAATAAATTGGTTAGTCTCTAAGGTGCCACAAGTACTCCTTTTCTTTTTACAAACATTTTTGAGATTTCAATTTTTTATCCTGATTCAGGATAGGAATTTTTTTTCAAAATCTCAGATTCTTTCCTAGAGTGTAAAAGCCATTTTTCAGCCACCTCTCTTCCAGAGGAATATTAGACTGCACTGGGCTGCCTAGAGAGCCAATGACTTTGTTGGATGCTGTTTTAATACTCTATGGTCAAAGTCTATTGAAAGCTGCATCACCAAATTTAAACAGTTTCATACCAACTCTGTTTTTGCTACAGTAGTAATATCGTTACAGTTCTGTGTAACAGATGCACCGCAATTATCCCTAATGCATGTCCCTTTAATGCCCCTAAGTGCTTTTTAATTCGATGAAACTACTTGGAAAGGCATGGTTTAAGCTTCTGCAGCAACTTGAAGATCTGATTTTTTTGATCAAAGGCATAGGTCTATAAAATATAGGACAAGTTGATCTTTGGAATAACTGAAGTCAATGGAGTTACACCATGGATGAATCTGGCCCAATGAGTTTCTTCTTTCAGACTATCATTTAGGCTGTCTACATTAATACCTGCTATTTTCCTTAAATGTAACATTTTTAGAAATTAATTGGTTTGCGCTCAGTAAATTCCCTATACACATGAAGTGACTATTGCATATCATATCACTGTCCATTTGACATGCGCTTCTCAGATATGGTTAAAACACTGAGCGCCAAAACATTAGCTTGGTAACTCTAATGTGATCTAAGGATCACAAAGTCCTGTGCCATTTAAGTCAAGAGGTTTTAATGGAAGTTCAAAATCTTGAGGCAAGGCTCAAATCTGCTCCCATTGAAATCAGTGAAACTCCCAAGGGTGCAGTGAAGGAGCAGATCAGTTTTGCACCAGACACACAGGTTCTTTTTTTCGTTTGTGTTTAATCAATTCTAGCCAAAGGTAAAATCCCACAATCTTCACCAATATGAGCAATTCTTACGCAGATGGAAATTGCCATTTATTTCAATGGGGATACTCATGTGAGTCAGTGTTGGAGGATCTTGCCCATTGAAGTCTATGGGCCAGATTCTCTGTTGGTGTAAATCAAGGTCTCTTCATTGACCTCAGTGGACCTACACTGATTTATACCAGTTGAGGCTTTAGTCCAGTATTTCTGTTATGGTCATATATAGCAAAATGCCTGTTGTTCCACATATAAGTTGACTGAGTTCTTCAAGCCTCGCAAGCTCAAAACTCCTGTTGACTTCAGTGGCAGTTTTTTGATATACAACAAATGCAAGGTCAGGTCCAATTAGAGCTGATTGAAAACTAGAAAAACAATTGTGTAAAAAAATATTTGTTTCCATTTTGCAGAGCTCAAAAGGATTTATTTTGTGCTCTCCCTTCCCTCCCCCCCCCAATTTTTTTTTAGAAAAATTTCAAATGTTTTGAATTTTGGGGGGGTTGCTACTACCCCCCCCCATGCAATAAATTGAATGATGGTCAGTCCTCCCTACACACACACACACAGGTTTTTTTTCCTCTTTTACATTTTTCCTTTTGCTGAGCTGTAACTTTTCAAAAGCTTGAGGCAGTTTGGAAGAGCTATGGAGTGACAAATATATATATATATATATATATATAATGGTTAAAATGCCCTGGACATCATTCATTCTAGTGCACTAAGTAAGTGACAGAAAGGAATGACAGAGAAAGGGAGGGAAACCAAAACAATGAATCAAAATATTGAGGGTTTTAGTTTTGATGAAAACCCAGAAAACTTCAAAAAGGGGAAAGTTCTTCACAGAAATATTCAGCTGAGGAAAAAATCATTGTGGGTTGAAAAAAAATGGTTTACATTTTTCATTTGAAGCAGCTTAGGGATAAAGATGAACTAGTAGAAAACCTGAAGCTGAATTAATATGGAGTGCTTAGCTGAAGCATGTCTGGAGGGGGGAAAGGGCAATTTGATAAAGCTTTGCTAATTCTAAAGGTGCAATTATCTCACTTTGAGAAAAAGGATTATCTTAACATATATTGATACTGTCTTGAGGCTACATACATAGCTGCTGCAGAAGTTAGCCTAACCAAGGAAAATCTAGGAAGAAGAAGAAATAAATGCAAAACAGCAATAGGTGTATTATTTGGTTTGGCTCAGACTCAATTGTGTAATTATGAGCAAATATTTTAATGTTCAGGGATTTTACAAAACATATTGTGAAAAGAGAAAAAAAGAAATGTAACCACCAAAGTTTTTCTGAATGGAAGAGGAAAAATAGAAGAGTCAAAAGGAAAAATGCACAAGAAAATTCACAAATTTTTGTCTTTGAGATGATTTTTTAAATAGATAGAATTGGAATGGTACCTTCTCTTTGTCATATCTTATGAGTCTTTATTTGGTTGTTTTTATGTTTATATCCTGTGAGTCTGTCATATTATAGTCACCACTGTTTGCTATTGCTTTCATAATATGAGAATTCTTGTTTTACAACTGATAGGGGACATAAAGTACATTGGTGTAAGCTGGCATAGATTTGATCACCTCTGTGAAGTCTTTTGAGATACACTGATAAAAAGTGCTATACAAGAGTTAGGTATCATTAATTATTACTATTATTATTTATTATTTTATTGTTCAGTTCACATCAGCTGAGGATCTGACCCATAATTTATAGAAATATGACGTTGTATAGAATAGAAGTGTATTTAACGTTAGCTATATACATTGGCCAGGATGTTTTCTCTCTCTTTTATTTTGAACACAATTAGCAATCACATCTATTATGGTGGAAGATGCCAACAAGCAGGTCTTTGATCTATAGATAATTACAGACCTGGTTAAAGCTGAATGGTGTGCTATGAAACTTTCTTTCAGGCTCAATGGAAGGAGTAATTAAACTCTTTTATGGGGTGAGATATCTGGAAACAACAGCAGGGGCTAGACAACTGTTTGTGTGTTGGCAGTATGGAGAGAAAACCAGCAGCCAGTGAGAGAAGCAGTCATGAGCGTGGTCCTAAGAGGTAGCAGAGACAGAGATCCTTGGGGGACAGGTTTGACAGAAGAGGCAGACTTGGAAATGGTGACATTCACAGCTGTTAGTTTCTTGTTTTCAAGAATGCTAGTTCAACAATGTTAGTTTCTTGTGTTCAAGAATGCTCAATCTTGTGTTCATAAATGCTTTATAAATAAAAAGGATTATACCAAAGAATACACTTGCTTCCTACCACTTCTCCTCCTAACCAAAACATTCCTCCCAGGGTAACCGCCTGAGCCAAAGGGGCAACGCTTCCAACAAAATAACAGCTAGAATTTGATCAGTAACAATAGTTTGCCCTTCTATGGCTTCTAGCATCAGAGGATCTCCAAGCACTTTACAAACATTTGTTGCCGGCACCCAGTGCCGAAAGGCAAAACAACAGCAGGGGTTCGTTACCCAGTGTGCTTCACTCAATAGTCACAACAGGGTGGAGAAGCAGAAAAGTTTATTTGCAGCTGCAAACAAGGTACAGGGAGAATAGAATCTCAAATCCTGCACACCAGAGCGGGTCGTTATACACACTTTTATATTCCTAAATGCTACTGCACTACACATCAGCCAATTAAAACTTTGCACAAATACTCTGCCTTCCTTATATGGGTTACAACAATGTTTATTTCTTGCAACCTCTAACAAGCATTCCTAGCAACTTAAACAACCAGCACATTCTGTCTGGCCTTGTAACTATCTCCTGTTATCTTTAACTTGGCGTCAGCAAACCTTACACTATAAGGCATTATCTGCGGCTGCAACATTGTTTTAAGAGCAAAAGAGCTTACTCAAACCAGCCAGGCCTGAATTCTATTAAGGGGGGTTAAGAAGAAGCCCTTAGGCCTTCAGCAGGGAGACCTCCTCGACCCTTATGGCCTTCCATCCCCTCGACTTAACTAGTGGCCATGCCCTGGGGACTCCAACACATTGATTTAGACTAAGGCTGCAAGTCTGTCACAGATTCTGTGACTTTCAAGGACCTCCATGACTTCCGCAGCTGCAGTGGTCCCAAGGCTAGCTGCACTGGTGGCTGCTGGAGCTGCTGGGCTGGCCCTGAGGCTTGAGCAGCAGCCAGTGCTGCTGGCTCTGGGAGCCATGGGATCAGCAGCCACTGTGGCTGGCCCCGGGGGTCACCAGAGCAGCAGGAGTGTCCAGGGCTGCCTCCCCCCTCCCCGCTGAGCAGTAGTGGTACCCTGGGCTGACCCCCCACCCCCGAGCAGCAGCAGCGCCTTAGGGCTCCCCAGAGCAGCTGCACCCCACAGCCTCAGGACAACTTAGATTTAGACAGGGTTACTTCTAGTAAAAGTTATGGACAGGTCATGGACCGTGAATTTTTGTTTTTTGCCAGTGACCTGTCTATGACTTTTACTAAAAATACCCATGACTAAAATGTAGCCTTAATTTAGACCCACAACACCCCAGTGAGCATTATCACCCCCATTTTGCAGATGAGAAAACTGAAGCATGGAGAGTGAAGCCCCAATTCAGTAAAGGAATTTAAGCACGTGCTTAAATTAAAGCATG